ATTATTGCAAAGTACAATACATTAGTGAATTCAAACTTTGTGGGTCACAGCTTTGACGGGTGATTCAATTCAAACTGACGTAAATACTGAATACTTATACGATTTGTTTTAAACAGCAAAATAGATAATATATTTTATTTGTAATAAAATTATTATTCACGATTGTATTACAACATTGTTAAGTCATTTAGATACCACACTTGGAAAATCTCATACTTTACAATCATTTTTGAAAACATCTTTTTATCGATTATACTTCAACGAGATATCTTTTACTTTTAAAAGCTAATTGTTTTTTTACTGTTATAACGCAATTACGCCTTATAGTTGTACTACAAGTAAGGTGTCTATTTCGTTGTTTAAAACAAAATTCATCAGTGTTAAGTATATGTCAGTTTGAATTGAATCACCCACTGAAGCTTTAGTAGTCAGTCTGAAAATTGCCAGACGCACATCAAGTGTTTTTAAGATTTTTTAAACAGTAAAAATTGTACTTTTGTACTTTGTCTGTCATATTTTTTATTTTAACATAATGATAACTATATACTTTTGTGATTTAAGCTAACCCAGGCAATTTTCGCATATGGTTTTCTTCTATTTTGAAATTGTACGGAGGAGATCTTGGCGAATCTGTATCACAAAGCCTTCTGGATCGTCATTGACACTGACTTCAATGAGAAAGGTTTCGTCCAACAGTAACTTGACAGCTTCGATGAGTTTATACAGACTTCGGTACAGAGGATCGTTAAGAACTCCCTGTAAATCGAGCTCCGGGTCGAGGTAGGCATACGACGAGACACATCGATAAGGCATCTCGTGAAGTTCGAGCAGATATGTCTGTCAAAGCTTTCAAGTGATTAATATTTTTACACTTTCATCAAGCAACCTCATATTTTTCTGTAACTTTATCCAATTTTTGTTTATTTTAGTCAGACGCACTAGGAAAAAAATAGAGCACTGTCCCTCTTGATGCCCAATGAAACTAAACTGAGAAACCTTACAAGCATGAGTTGAACAAGGGGCCGTTAAACCCAATAGATTATTCTATCATCAATGGATTAGAAAAGATACAAGTAGTCTTGCATAAACATTAATGGGAAAGAGTGGAGCAGTAAATGATAAACTTCAGCTTTGTATTTGCGATGGTGAGCTGGCCAAGCCCCGTTGCTGCACAACACACTCTGGAGGTACGCTATGTCCTGCGGAGACCCTTTGGTCACTTTATTATGTGCATTCTGGGCAAAAGATTATAAACATCTGCAGGCACTAGTATCAGTGGACACAAAAGAAGGAAGGCTTGATTGAATAATTCATTTTGTATTTCAAAGAATTATTTGAGCCCTAAAAAATATCACAATAACAGATATTTGTTTATTTATTTTCAACGTACCAACTATTGTTTATTTTTCTTAAAACTTTTCAATTCTAAGGTTTATATTGATACATAAAGAGATTAGTGTATTAAACGCAGTATTTATGTAAGTGCCATTGTATTATGCTCATATTAGATGAGAATTATTATTATTGGGATTATCAGGAATTCAAAACCATAATTTCGTATGTACAAGAATCCAAGAGGCATTTTGAGCAATTGTTAGAATGAAGTATCTGAAAAAATTGAATCAAAATACATTGTTCTGCTAAGTAGACAAATTATCTAACAATTTCTGGACGAACTGCTATGGAAAGAGATGCATTGTACTAAACTACTGAACAAAACAACAAAAACTAAACAAAACAAAACAATATTTATTTACCAGACATAAATTTTCTTGCTTTGCTTGATAAACTTATTTTTCAAAATGTTGTATTGAAGTTTTTTAATCATGTTCAGATAACGATATTTATCTGTTATAAAAATAATCGACAGAGAAACAGGTTACTCAGCTAAAATTAACTTATATTGTATTTTGTTTATTCATAAATAAATGTATTTTCCATACAAAGAATGAGAGATAAATATACAATTAATAATTTAGTAAACGAACATTTGATTTGCAGGTCTAAAATACTATTTTCATGTACAAAGTAATCAATATTTGAAATTTATCGCTATGTTTAAGTTGCCCAAGTGATATCATTTAATGCATTTTGTATGATATAACGAATATTTGCATGAAGAAGAAATCCAGCAGGGGTAAAAATACTTTGATAGGACACTATGTCACAAGTAGTGTGGACACACTGAGTTCTAAGATAAAAATAAATGTAGGTATTTGTTTCCATCTTCCTTGATAACACTTTATAGTAATTAATTTTTAATGTAAATACATTCGTGTGATTCATGAAATATTATCGTAAGAGTCCATATGTATTTGAACAGTTGCAATTATACTTGCTGCACATTGTGTAACGTGTGCATTCATACATGATTATAAAATAATAAATATAGAATTACACAAGGCTCATTATCCTTCTTTTTCATTTACCTACGGATGTTAAAGAAATAATTCTACATTGGAATCATAATCGTTTAGAAAATTTTTTTGTTACGTATTATTTTTCCTCACTGTTTGACTTTAAATACTTTTTAGTTCATTGGAAAAGAGCGAATGTTTTTGCAACAAAAATGTGCAAAGTTTAAAAAAAACTACAAGTATACTTATGCCTTAAAAAATATGAATTTTATAGGATATAATCCGTAATTCATCAAATGAGAGCCACTGGTGACTGGTGCCAGTTTGGCAGAAGATGCGTTGCGCGCATGCATGAAGTAACCAAGTGTAGCCAACTCACAGCAACAAAAACTCCTATCTACCATTGGTTCACCCAAGCTATTTGTTATTTCATATTTTATTGATATTAATTACTTTGAATCTGCAATTAAATCATAGAGCAATTTGAAGCGCCCTAAGAGCAGTTTTTTCTAATAAAAATTTCTTTTAAATATTGATTATTAGCTTTATAATGACTCGCGAAGTATTGCCTGTTACCGGGCACTTTAATTTGCATTAATTAAATAAATAGAAAGGAGCAGTTTTTGCTAATTGCATTTCTAAAAAGAGCAGTTTTTAATACGTCGATTCCATTAATTTGTTTATTGAATATTTAATTTTTCTCGGGCAAGGGTGGCGTTGGTCAGTTTGGCTGCTTGTTAGCAGCGTAATCCGAACGGCCATTAACGAAACTGATCCCAACGTCTCGCTAGCCCGCGCCCAGCGGGATGGATCTCGGCGCCCTCCGCCGTGAGTGAAGCGAAGTGGTGAACCTCGCCTCATCGCATTGGACTAGAGGGCGCGAAGACCCGACGGGCGCGGACTGCGGGACGTGATAGGGCGCGCGGTTTAGAAATAAAATGTAAGTGCATTGCAGGGGTTAGAGGGTGTACATGTAGGGGTGGGTGTGAAGAATGCCGTGTCGGGATGATTATTGGGAAGTAAAGTAATATTGTACAGTGGGAGATGAGCTTGGGTCTAGTACATTAGTAGTTAGTGTTACGATGAATTTAGAGAGAAATGTTGCATTTGCGGATAAAGTTGTGCAGAATTGAAATGAGTTTGACTGATGGGGTGGCTAAGAGGAAGGAGCTTATTGTGTAGGGGGGTATAGCTTTAGTTTGGAGAGTATTTTGAGGAGAGAAGCTCGTTGGGGGTTGAAGCGTTCGCAGGACCAAAAAATGTGGTTTAGGTCTTTAATGTCATTGCCGCATTGGCAGTTGGGGTCTGGGATGAGGTTTTTGCGATGAAGGCTGAAGGCCAGGTTGTAGTGGTTGGAACGCATTCTGCTGAAAGATGTGACTTGGTCCCTTGACAGGGGGAGAGAATGGAATCAGGGTTTTGCGAAGGGTTTAAAGCTGATGTCGAAGTAGAAAAGACCTTTTCCAGAGTCGTCATCTGTAAGGAGTTGGATGAATTTTGAGGAGATTCGTGAGTTGAATAGGGCTGGTAATCCGAGAAAGAGAGAGGGTAGTCTAGTATAGTAGGCCATCGGCTATGGCTTCTTTTGCAAGTAGGTCAGCTTTTGTGTTGCCCGGGATGCCTTTGTGGCTGGGGATCCAGGCTAGAATGACTGAAATGTTTGAGGAGTGTAACTCGTAGAGGATTTTTTTGATACGGTGAATGGTTACATAGGGTGATACGTTTAGGGGGGATGTGTCAGCTAAGGATTCGAGGCTGCTGAGTGAATCAGTAAAGATGATTGCGTTGTTAAGATTTTTGGAGGATATATAGACGAGGGTAAAGTAAATAGCAAGAGCCTCTGCCGTGAATATAGAGGCTGGTGGAGATAAGCAGCCTTTGAATGTATAGTTAATTGGAGAGGGACAGTGAAAGGCCAGGCCAGTATTGGATGTAGTGTTGATTTTGGAGCCGTCAGTGTATAATGGGGTGTAAGTAGAGAAGATATTATTAAATTGGTGCAGAAATTCTTATTGTGGGTCAAGAGCTTTGTTGATGACAGAGCCTTTAGTTAAAATGATGTGGGGCATGAATTGTTGGCTCTCCATAGAGAAAAAATATCAAGGGGGTACTGAGTTGGAGTAGATGTGAGACTTGTGTGGGGAGAGTTTGTTGAGGGCGAGTATAAGGAGGT